ACATCAGTGTAGATATGATCACCAACATACAGTATTTCGTCTCCATGAATATTTAGGGAATTCTCAACCATCTGAGCACTTCCCCCAGAATACAATCCCCCTGCAAGAAAAAGAATTTGAATGAGCATGAGATCATTAAATAAAACCAATGCCAACAAAGTAAAGAATTATCAAAAATATGATCCTTGCAAAGCTCAGAGGAATTTAATATATTGACATGTAAAAATGATGTTGACTGAGAACAAAAACAGCAGAGATTTGACCAACTTAACAACTTAGTCATTTAGTTAATTAATGTCACAATAACAATCATTTATCAAACATGATTATTTAGCTAATGTGCAACCAAGTGACATTCAAAGCAAGTGCAACCACAGAGCACATGAAATTAACAACTTCAATGTATTTTGCCTTAAAAATAAAAGAATTTCAGGGCTAAACAAGCACAAGTACTGAACATTAGTCTTCATCACCTGTTTTAGCCTTGAAGCATGGACGCATGAGCCCCTCTCCTGTCACCACCTCATACATAGGGTGTGACATTTGGAAGAACTCTGGCTTCCTTGCGGAGACTATTACCTGAAAAGGAGCGTAATAGACCAAAAAAACATGACTCACTGCTGTTAATGCGATCACAATTCTAATGATCATTAAGTTTCAAGGCAATCTTTGATTGTTAAACACACACAAAACAAAAAAAAAACAAAAAAACAAAAAAAAAACACTGGTCTGTGATAAAATTATGCTGCTAGTTTAAGCATCACACAGGAAAGAATGATCCTGAGACTTTTATAGCAGAGGTCCTGTAAAATAATTACTATTCAATGTGGCACGAAGTTATAAGTATACAAACGACATTTACTTACAATGTCAAATAAATCCCGCCAACCCATATCATTGGGAAGAAATCTGTTGAAGGAATGCTGCATCATTTTGTCTGTGTAATGATAATCTGAGTTGGTAATGAGCAGAAGCTTTTTACCAGCCTAATGCACGAATAGGTCAAAGTAAATAAGGAGGTAAATGATGTCACACGCTACTGAAAGATAAATTTCTATAAGACGTACCTCCTTTTGATCCAAAAGTGCTAGGGGTAATTCTGGATCAGGTGTCACAAATAGTTCAGGCTTAGACATTATCTCACTCTGCATATATACCACAATCAGTTCATGCTCATGAACCAATTCTTACATATCTAATACACAAATCATAAATATATTAACCTTTAGTTGACCCTCTACATGTGCCCTGAAGAGGGCTCTTCCAACAGCCTGAAATCATGTCAATAGTTAAAAAGGAGCAAGAAAAAACCAATACCAGGCTCTATAAAATTGAGGCACAACATATTGCCTTATAGAGCCCTTTATAATCAAGTGGACCAAGTTGTGCTGCTATGGTTCCATCATCCAATCTGTCAACCATCTGAAAAGAATCACAAGTCAATGTCTGCATACGAATAAACTAAATCCACAAAAATAATAGCAATAAAATGAGTCAGAAGTTAAAAAAGTGCTCTAGCTAAGACAAAACAGTACCTGCATATAAGCGACAGCTTCTGAGACGGAGAACAGTGTATTAAGGAATTCCCATCGACTTTCCTTCCGGAGGTCCACCAGTTCCCTCCCGTACATCTCACTTCAATGAGTAAAAAGTTAAGCCACACTATAGAATATACGATTCCATCTTTTCCCAAAAATGATATGCTAAAGTGCAAAATGTTGGAAGAACCTAAGCGCTACATACACAAAGTTATAATACAAGGGAAGACCAGAGTAATAAATCTGATAATAGGAACTTTCATAGGAAGTCTTATTGCTAAGTTTTAACAGCACACTGAATGCCTGCTTTGCATTTGCACTATGAGACTAACCAAAATAAAAGCTTCATAGTGTACCTTACAGCTCGATTAGATAGCATCTTTGTGCCATGCATAGCCCTCTTTACATAACCAAATCGATCAGGCTTCACTAAGTTGCCTTTCTCTTTGTCTATGACAAGGCCTCTAATAACCTATGGGAAAGGATGGAACAAAGGTAGGAAGGAAAAACGAAAATTAGATCTTATGGCTTGCTTATGTAAATACTCAAAAACCTTTTAACTTGCTTATAGATGCTACCAAGTCAGGGTCAAATGCAAGACCATCAACAGGGAAACCCACTTTCTTCAAATTCTCCATACAGTAATCATAAGCTCTCCCTTCCCAAGCCTGCAAAATACAAATCCATGTCACACAATAGCCAGAATAGTAACGGTTACTAATGCATTGAGGTTGCAACACTAGTCACTTGCACATGCAAAACTATATGATCTTGATGTTGCATCAAAGCTGACGCGCCAACTAATGCTGAGAATAAGAACATATATTAAGCTGAT